GTTGTCAAAGAGCAATGTGATTCAAAAACCTCTGCCTGTTTTTAGCAATCAAAAATTTAAATAAGTTAAACAAAAGTTGTTTTTTTTAACTTAGTTTAAGTAACTTACTTTGTTTTTTATTTAGTTAAGATTTGTAAAGTTTACATTTTTTTCTGTGTTGAATTGTGCTGAATGTTATCATACTGAGAGGTTTTAAATGTTATCATATAGAAAATTGTCTACATATCAGTAAATCAAATAAAATATTTTCTTTAGATAAAATATAATTAAATATTTAAAATAACAATAAAACAGCAATAAGTGTATGATTTTCAAGTCCTTGAATGGAAAATCTTATATTGGCTTTAAAGTTTATGTCAATATTTCTGAGCAAGATTTGAAATTAAAATGCAAAACTACTAGATAAACTATCAAGAAAAACTATAAAATCAAGTTTAACTAATTTAGTGGCAAAATATTGTCCTTCAGCATTTATATTAATACTTATTACTATTAAAGGGTGGCCACTGGTCATGGAAATTATGAAAATGTCATATAATTATACTTGGTCATGAAAAAAGTCATGGAATTCCTAAGTTCTCATTGAAAATCATGGAAAACTCATGGAACTATTTAAGATGATGTTTATTTTTTTCTGCTTGTGATATTTTTAGGATGCAAAGAAAAGTGCTAGTATGTCATTACATTTGACATTTAAAAAATAGATATAATTGATATTTTTTAGATACTAACAAATTTCAATAAAATAAAATTTTTATTTTTGCTCAGTTACATTTATTTAATTATTCAACTAGTTTCATCCTGACCAATCTTCTTAAGTTTTTATTTTTAAATCACTTATCTTCTTTATTTATTATAGTGGAGAGAAAACAAGAACTAAAGGCAATTTCTTGCATTTAAAGTTTTAATGAATGAATTATTAAATTTTTTCATTGAAACTTTCATCTATTTTAATTGCCTACATCGCTTTTAAACACTGTTTTAAAAGGTTTAAATGATTAGTTGCATATATTGTCCTCTTTTGTTTTTATTTTCATTTTTAATTTATAAATGTAAAAAAAAAGCTAAATAGTATTTAATTTTAACAAAACATTTTTTATAATTTCCAATTTTCAAATAGCTAAAAAACATTTAATTGACGACTGTCGATAAAATCACTATACATTATATGTAAGATTGCCAGATGTCCGGCTTTTACAAAGGAGTTTTACAAACACATTTAAAAATTTATTTTAACAGATTTGGTGCTTTATTCTCCTTTGTAAAAGCCAGAAGTCTGGCAACCCTAATTTTATGGAAAGTTTTTGAATATTTAATTTTTTAGATACTTTAGTATTTAAAAAATTTAATAAGTTAAATAAGTTTAAAAGTTAAAAAACTTTTTCAAATCAATAGCTTTTTTAATTTAGAATTTTTCAAAAGCTCCATAACTTTTAAATGAGAAACTTGGTTCGCTCACCCGATTTTTGTTGAACAAAATGTTTGTTAAAAGAACTTTTGTTTGCAATATGCTACTCTAGTTAGTTTAATTTAAATGAGTAACAAAGCATATAAGGGACAGAGTGAGATTCTTTCACGACACAAATGTAGCAACTAAATTTAATCGGCATATTAAATATCTAGTATACTAGATATTTATTTATAAAGATATTTAAATACAAAAATAAATTATTTTTTTAAATTTAAAAATACAAAATTTACGTAAAGTTGGTATTTGTAAATTTAAAAAAAATTATTTTTGTATTTATAAATATTGATTAATAATTAGTATTATTAATATTGTTTTTAATTATCTTTTATGTTTTACCCAAATATAACATAAATAATATGTTTCATCGCAAGTTTTATTTTTAATTTTTGTTATTGTCATTTTCAGTTTACTTTACCAGCTAATAAACTTATTTTAAAGTATTATAAACTTATTTTAAAGTATAATATTTATTAATATGCAAAGATCTTAGTAACTTTCCTAAATTAAGATAAACAGTAAAATATGTAGAGAAAGAGTTTTTAGAATAATAAGAATGAATTAAAAGTTTTTAAATAAATAAGAATGAAATTAAAATAATGAATAAGAATGAAATAAAAATAATGAATTAAAATAAAAATTTATTAAACATATTAAAAGAATCTTAACTAGTGACATCAATAAAAAAATTTTTTAAATTTTGTTTTGACTTTTGAATGAATGATCTTGCTTGTTAATTAAGGACTTTTATAGGGTTTGGCATATGAAATTTTGGTGCCATCTTAATATGGGATAAATAAATCAATCCATTATAACAAAATATTATATAAAAGCAATATATTTTTTTTATAAAAAAATGGTACTCAGAATAAAAAAAAACAGTTATAGAAATGGATAACTGATCATGGGATATCTATAAGTAGCCACATTAGTTACATATCAGAATAAATAAATTTAAACTGTATCCTTCCCTAACTCAAAAACTAATAAGAAAAGCGGAAAGGCGTTTTTTATTTGTAACCTTCTTGAATCCTTCAAGTATACCACTTTTATAAACATTTTATAAATCATTGTACCTTTATAACTACATCTATATTTAAAAAGTATGCTTCAAATATAAGAGAAGGCAGTTGAGGACAACAACAAAAAAGATATTTTATTTTGACAAGCAGAAAAATTGTGAGTGTTAAAGCCTTAACAGATTTTAGTTCACCTAATATGTTGTTTGTAAGAGGACTTAAAAAAATTTCACAAAGAACAAATTTGTCTTGCTGTAATGTTATATAAAAATAACATTCAACAGAAATCTTATATATATATATATATATATATATATATATATATATATATATATATATATATATATATATATATATATATATATATATATTTAGAAATTGTTTATATACCATATAAGCAACCATTGGAATACGCCAGAAGTTGAAAAAGCAGTTGAAAAGAAAAGAATCTTTTGGCGCAAATATCTTGCAGCTGGTCGATTGACTCACATAGAGATTTGAGAAGAGCATAAGACAACTTGCAAAGAGTTAAGATAGTAAGATCAGCAGTTGTTAAGTATGAAAATGAAATTGCAAATATCTCTAAAATTGATCCAAAACGGCTTCATAACCACGTCAAGCAGAAGCAAATAGCAAATGAAATGGTGAAATCTTACAACTGATAGTCATAAAATTTCTCATTTACTTAACGTATATTTTCAGTCTGTATTTGTTGTTGAACCGTTACCTCAGATGCCAACATTTCAGAAGCGAACAGAAATGGAATGTGTCCTGGATAAAGCAGAACTAACAACTATATCTGTTCACAAGAAGCTGGAAGAGCTCATCGAAACAAAGTTTCGATAGTTGTGATAACATACACTCGCGTGTTCTTCGACACTGTGCTACTGCAATAGCTAAGCCACTAGCTATGATTTTCAAAAAATCCCTGGCTGAAGGTAAAGTCCCTAACTTTTGGAAGTTATCAAACATTACTCCTATTTTTAAAAACGGATGCTGTAGAAAATGCTTGAACTAAAAACCAGTTTCTCTCAAATCGGTACCCTGTAAAATAATGGAAAGTTTTATACACAAAAGAATCCTGAAACATTGCCTTGAAAAAGGGCTCTTTACAAAATCTCAACATGGATTTTTTCCAAGACGCGGCTGTACAACCAACCTACTAGAGACATAGTACATTTTAACAAAAGCACTATTTCATAATCATGCCATAGATGTGATTTACACAGACTTTGCTGAAGCTTTTGATAAAGTACCTCACCAGCGTCTTCTTTTAAAACTTGATGTATACGGCATACATTAAACACTACTGGAGTGGATAACTGACTGGTTAAAAAATCGAAAACAGAGAGTGGTCATCAACAATAGCAAGTCTGAATGGGTAGATGTTACTAGTGGTGTTCCACAAGGCTCAGTGTTAGTTCCACTTTTGTTTCTGATTTATATAAACAACCTTCCAGACAACATGGTGCATCATATAAAGATCTATGCAGATGATTGTAAGATTTTAGGGGTAATCTCGAGTATGTGATCCAAGCCTGGTCTTCTTACCTAAAAATTGACACAAAAGCACTTGAATGCATTCAAGTAACAAAGGTGATAAGCAAGATAAAACACAAAAGCTATGAGGAAAGACTGGCCATACTCAATCTTACCACTCTAGAAGAGCGCCAAAAAAAGGGCGACCTCATTCAACAGTTTAAATCACTAATGAAATAGAAAAAATGGACTTTGTAGTTCCTCAAATATATGCCCAATCGCTATCAGATTATAATTTGTGTGGACATAATCAGCGACATTCGCGGCAAATTGTGAAATCTTGCCAAGAATGAGATAATTATTTTACTAAACAAGTTGTTAACAACTGGAATGGACTACCAGCAAATGTAGTCAATGCAAGTTCTACGATCATTTTTAAAAGTCGATTGGACTTTTAAAAATTTTCAAGGTGATTTGAAATAAAAAATTATGCCTAAGCTATTTAAAATAAAATAACTATGAAAAGTTTAAATTAGTTTTTATAAATTTTTAAACTCCTCTGTCAGATATGTATAGATAATTATTATGTATACATATCTGCAAGAGTTATGAGCTTACAAGTTATAATTTAATTTATAAGAAAATATTGAATAAGATTCAAATAAGATGTAAAAGAACTTTATATTTTATTTAATGATTTCTTTTATTTAAAATATTTGATCACCGATATATTCCTTTAGACTGTTGCGATTACCAGTTGTTTTTTAATAATTATATCGTGCTTTGTTTTTCTAGTTTTATATATATATATATATATATATATATATATATATATATATATATATATATATATATATATATATATATATATATATACATACAAATGTATACAATATATACATACATATGTATACAATGAATACATTATAGCTAAATGTGTATGTATACTATACATACACATACATTTAGCTATAATGTATTCAATATATGTTTACTCAACTTCATTGATAATGATGTAATTATTGTTCTTCCAGATATTGTTGGACATCAAAAAGAAATTTTAGTGCGTTTTAAATCTGTGTTAGATGGAAGTCCAGCAGATGTTTTTAAAGTATGTTTTAAATTTTTTAAACATATAAACATAATATTTTATTTTTTTAAAGTTTCAATAATCATAATACTTTATAGTTTATTATTTAATTGTTTATAATTGCTGCATTTTTTTTAATTTTAATTATACTATGTGATTTGTTTGAAATCAAATCAAATTATGTTTTGCAAAAACAACAATTTCTAATACCAGAATTTTCCTAACAGCCTTTAAAGAGATTTAAAAATTGTTTATATATCGAAAATTGCTTTAAATCAGACTTTACAGCGACCCTTAAAACTGCACAATCAAATGAAAAAACTGGAGGCTGGCCAGAGACACTTTTTTTTAGCAAAATTAATCACAATATAGTTATCTCAACATTTCCTCATTTAAAAAAATAAAACTGTTTATCTATTCAATTTGCACCTTCAATGGGTTCAAGTTTTTGCTAATAGCTATTATATATAGTTGTTTATAAGATCAGTTAAAAAAGCAAGAAGCAAAACAAACTGTTGATCTTGACTAGTTTTAAGTAAAAAGTTAAATAATATAACATAATATAAGTATAATAATATAACATAATACAAATAATATAAGTAAAAAGCTAGTTCAATCTAATAAATTTAAATATAACATATAATATATATATATATATATATATATATATATATATATATATATATATATAATATAATATAATATAATGTGTTATATGTGTTAATTGTTGCATCTGCTTTCATCGAAGTAAATATTTGGTTTATATATTTATAGTTGTTAGCACATTTCTGCTATTTTAAAAAATTGTTGTTGATAATCATCTTAACACATTGAATAATGGCTAATAAAAGGAATAATAGCTAATAAAATATAATAATAATAGAACAATAGCTAATAAAAAGATCACACAATCATAAATCATCAAAGATTTTTCTTATATTTATAATTTTCCATGCATCAATATAAAATTGCAGAAAAGCAATTTTACCTTTACTTTTTTCTAAACTTTAAAGTGGCTTTTTTTTTTTTTATTTTTTTTTTTACATCTTCACTTCCAACAAGGCTGCAAATAACCACTGTAAGAGTTGGAAGTTACTGGATGAGGAAAGATGATGTTTGTAGAGCAAGGTAATGATTGACAGACAACTTAAAACATTGCAAATTATATGAATTAGGAAAGCAAGATGAAGGAAGCGAATTCTAAAGAACTGATGCTCGAGGAAAAATGCTAGACAAATAAGAGTTTTTGGAGCACTTACGAAGTCACAGAAAAAGGATGAGATTTAATTGAATGAGGAGTAAAACGAGATACAGTGTTATAAAATAGGTTCTAACCTTAACTTTCTGACCCGAGAAAACCCTTTGGTGGAGTGATAGCCCTTACTATTAGGAAAACTTAGATTTAAGTATCAAAATCAGATTACAACGTCCTGGTAAGTTTGAATTTTTATTCCACAAAACGCGTTTTAAACGTTTAATATACACATTAAAACGTATTATAGATGTATTAAACACGTTTTGTATTTTTTACAATATTTTATTGATCGCACAAACATGTAATATGAGAGCTTATTTTGCTTTTTATAGAATTGAAATTTCTTATAGTATCTCCAATTTAAATCAATATAAACAAGGAAAGCAAAATAATATATTCTTAAAGTTTTTCAAGTAACAATCATAAAATATATTGATTGTACAAACATGCAAAATGACAGTTATTTTGCATTTCTACAGTTCAAAATTATGATTTCTACAGCCCAAAAATGGTTAAATTGATATGAAATGTATTTAATAATGAAATAAGTTATTTCTGAATAATTTTCTACTTTTGAATTCTGGGAGAAAGCACGTTGTTTTTTCTTTACTAGTGAGAGCTAAATTGAGCACATTTAATTTTAACAAAAATGCCAAATACTCCTAAAAACCACCAGGAATGCAGAAAAACTGTTTGTTTTCTTTGTCTTAGTTAATGTTAATGAGAGTTAACATTAGATCTAAAAGAAAGATGTCAAATTATACTGAAAGAGAAAATCGGCTTTAATGATGACAAAGTTCAATGTCAAAGAAAAATGTTTAAAAAGGAAGGAAAGTAGAGAGGACATCACACTCCCATCATTGTATAAGTTTGAGACTAAAAAACTTTGGCCAGAAACTCGAGACTCGCAGTGAACAGTGGGCCAGATAGTGGACAAAACTATTTTTCAAAATGTGAAAATAAAAGAAATTTTTTTTTTGTAATCGTTGCACGGTTTTTATGTCAGGGGAGGGGGAGGGTTATTTTTTTTTATTATTTTATATTATACTTACAAAAATTTGTACATTTTATAATAAAGTTCAAAAATAAGGAAAAAAGTTTGAGAGGAAGATAGAGGGGGGTGTAATGCACAGCAGACCAAAACAGCTATTTTTGAAGAAAAACTAATATAGAATTCAACCAATATTGTTATATTAACTGAATTTGGAATTTTTTTAAATGTAGTAAACCAGTGGCTTGGGAAGGTTAAAAAAGTTAGGTGGGCTAAAAAAAAAAGGAGCTAAGCAAGCCAGAATTAAAATTAGAATGAAAAATGGGAGTTTTGGGTTGATTGGGGGGGGGGGGTGCGATCATTGCCTTCCCCCACTGTTTCTATGCCAGTGTGGTAAACATATTACATTTATAGCAAAAATAAAACATTGTAACTGTAAATTATTTATAAAATACTGCACTACACCAACAGTAATTCAAATTAAAATAACAAAATTGTTCTAATAAAGAATCTAACCTAGATATCATGTTTAAAGTTTGACAATTTTAATAGTTGAATTGCTTCACGCGGAAGTTGAATTTTATTTGAATTTGATAATGTTTTTCTGAAACTGTTAATGTATGGATAATATATGGACTTTTTCATATTCCCAAAAGAAACTTAAGATTCCCAAAAGACTGTTAATATATGGACTTTTTCAGATTCCTAAAAGAAACGACGCACAGTGAAGCGAAATGATTAAAAAGTGGCCAAAACTCCAAATTTTGTAAAGTAATGAACATATTTATTAAATTACTGTTCCAATTCAAAAACAAGCATAAAAAGTGGGTAATTAAAAACTTCTCATGTTGTAGACCCCTCCCCTCATCTCCCTGCCTGCCTACCTCCCTCCCTCTTTGAATTTTGGGTGCAATTTTTTTTTAAGTTTTAGATTCTAGAAATCATTCTAAAACTATTTTTTAAGTGAAATAAATATTTACCTTATTTATTAAGCATTAACATGTAATCCCTGATTATATATCCATAAATGATGTTAGTAAATATAGGGTAGGAGGGGGTACTGAAAAGTTTGACAAGGCTTGACAATGGAGAAGGGGGGAGGTGTTCAGACCATAATAATGTCAATTGAAGAAAAAAAATATTCAAGTTTATACGAGCAGATTTTAAGGTATTTACATCTAAAGGTGTTTACATCTACAATGTGGTATAGAAATGGCATATGTGGGGAATTCGATGTGAGTTTCCTAGAGACATGAAATGAATTAAAAATTTACCAACTTTTTATTATTACCATTTGAAAAAAAATCTAAACATTTACAAATATCAACAATTTGTATATAAAATTAACAATCATTATTTGCTCTCTAGCGGATTATAAAATGTACTTCAAAGCAAACACATAAAATCATTTGTCATTATTTTAAGTACAATTGTCATGATTATTGAAGATCACTTCAACAACTCATGAGAAGATGATGAGTGATTGAATTTATATTATAGATATAGAATAAAAATTTGATTCGTTTGTTCATTATTTGATGAGGTATCAACTGTTTTAAAATATGTTTTGCTAAGACCTACTATTATATAAATGTATAATTTAACCAGAAAAAAATCAATGGTGTTAACACATATTTTTAATATTACTTTAGGAAGGGGGGTACAAAAACTGACATCATATATTAAGGGGGTCAGCCAAAAATGGTCAGTTTGACAAAGGGGGGAGGGGGTTCAAAAAATTGAAAAAAATTACTGGCATCATTTATAGACAGCCCATTATTAAAAAAAAACAACTATTCCTCTCCTCTGAGGAGGTCCTGTACATCAGGATCAAGGTAAGGACCAGCAAATGTCTTGGGGTTCTTGAAAGCAATTGAAGAGACCACAGGGTTGCTCTTTAATAAATAATAACATTTGTTCCGCATCACATTAATTCTAGATGTTTTGCATGTGTGATTGAGTCTTAAATTTCGTATGGCCTTATTTTGTGCTTCCAGTGCCTTCTCAGAATAGGCTCCAATGGGAAGATCCGAATGCTCAGAAATGAAAAATCCATGTTCCAGAACCTTTTTAATTTTTTTAATTTAAATACTTTTGTTAACCGAGGATGTGTTACAAAATATTACGATTATTGGAGCTTGGGAACATGAAGAACCCAAATAACAGTCTCCATCCCCCCAAACCCTTTTAAAGGGGGGACAGTATAGATTATTATTTTTAAAACCTAAAATAATATTTAACTTTATCGATAGAATTCAAATTTCATAAAAAAATCTTTTGGCGTTCAGACAAAATGACCTCGTAAAGTTTAAAACCCAGGCTTGGGCAGGAATGGCACGCAATCGCACTCTGTAACTGACCACGCTAATATTTTTATTTCTTTACAACTTGACCACAGCTATTTTGATGTTTTAACAATTTGAATGAAATAAAAAAAGTGTTATGTTACAAATATCTTTTAATCGTTGATCTTTTTTAAAGTTTTTTATTTTACACAAAGGCTTTAAATAAAACCTTAAAATTAGTTTCAGTTATAGTTTACATAAACGCTTGTGTAAATTAATAAAAAACGTTATAAATAAGTTTTTTAAATGTAGGCACTTATTTTTTATGATAAATATAAATGTTTGAAACTATTTTCTTATGTCTTCCTAAAACATTTTAAACCATTATTTTTAGAAAGAATTTTTTTAAGTTACTTTAAAGGGATCCCTAAGTGCTCCTAACATATGATCTCATATGAAAGAGCATAAAAAAAATATATATAAGTTTTTT